TAAATGCATATATAAATGGGTAAAATTAAATGAAGTGTACCTTTTAGTCTATACAAACACTCCTATTTTCTTGACAAATGTGCAAAAATACATTCAAATTCATATAATAAAGGGTCTGTTACAACAAAAAGAAAAATATAAGTATAAAATATAACAAAGGGGTCTGCTTATGAGGTAAAGTTAAATTTCTTAAGAAGAGTTGTTGTTTTAACAAGTTTCTGATTATTTAAATTAAGTTTTTCAACAGAGACAATATATGTTTTAAGTCAGTTTCTTTAAAATTATTAAATGAGGAGATTATTTTTCCACTACATTTCATATCGTGGACATAATATTTTGCCAGGATTATAATTAAATTTATATATATTTCATCAGAAGAAAAGGCTGAATTGTTAAAGATGAGCAATATTTGCAGTTTTGATAATACAATGTTCTTTCCAGCTTTTTCTGTGAGGAGTCTTTGCAAATCTGACCAAAATATTACAGCATGAGAACATCCCACAAATAAATGTTCAATACTTTCACCCTCACACTGACAAAAAGAGCAGCTGTTGCTGACACTTGGAGAGAAGTGACAAATATTATCTTTGGATAATATCTATGTAAAATCCTAAATAAAAATTATTTGATCCTATTAGTAAGTAAGGCAATAAAAAGATTTCACTCCACAGTTTTTTGCTTAAGTAACTCCATGTTTATATATGGGAGTAGATGAAGTTTCTAAATGAGCTCTGATAAACCTGTCTGTAATTTTCTTATGCATTCTATAGTTCCTTAATTGAAATGGAGTCATGAATGTATAGTTCGTCCAGATGTATGGTTTGTGCTGAGGAATGTAAACTAACAGACTTAATGACCAATTCAAATTATTTTTGATATATCCATGTCATTATTGATCATAAAACGCTCATAGTTATACCATTCACTATTAGTAACTGGTTTATTAGTTTAATATTTTTATCAACCCAGTTATGTAAATATAACAATTTGTTTTTATGTAGTATTCTTCCAAATGATGCAGTTATGAGGAGAGTAGTTGTGTTCGTATAGAAGAGTCCAACATAACAGAACCTGCTGATGAAACTTGGCTAATTTGACTGGAAGCTTTCCAACTGAGAAAGGACAACGCAACAAAAAGTTAAGACCACACAAGAATAAGGAACCGATGATTTGGGAAAATACTCCACATAGACTTTTGATTTTTTTTTTTTAAGTAATCTCTTAATCCAATTAATTTTTAATACCTGACTAAAGACAGTAAATGTCAAAACATTCAAACCTCCTTCAGCTGAAGAATTTGAGAGAGAGAACAGCTTTTTGTTATTTTATGAGCCTTATTTTTCCATAGAAACTTGAAGAGAATCTTATTAGTTTTAGTTTTTTAGTTTTTAGTCAACTAGCCAAGTTGTTGAATGAAAATGGAATTTTTCAGATTTTCCAGTGTGGTTTTAAACAATTACACAGCACCAGGACAGCCTTGGTAAGGATCTGTAATGACATTCTGCTAGCGAATGACTCTGGTCAGTCTGTGATCCTGGTATTACTGGACCTTACTGCTGCATTCAACACTGTTGACCACAGTATCCTTATATCACGGTTGGAACACTGGGTTGGGATTACTGGTGCTGTGTTAGAATGGTTCCGTTCATATCTGAGTGACAGGAGTGTTTGTGTCAATTTTAGTAATCATTTATCTGCTTCCGTGCCTCTTTCCAGCGGGGTCCCGCAAGGCTCCATTCTTGGACCACTTCTGTTTTCGTTGTATCTGCTCCCCTTACGGTCTATCCTGAGGAAACATGGTATTTTGTTTCATTGTTATGCTGATGATTCTCAGATTTATCTGCCCTTAAAACCCAACCGTTCCTGCTCCAGTCGCCCTTTGCTAAAATGTCTTGACATCAAGACGGATGGCTACAAACTTCTTACGTTTTTATGATCAGAAAACTGAGGTCATTGTGTTTAACCCTAGCTCTGCTGTTGTCACTGATCCTGTAAACCTGGACTCCCTTCAGCCATATCTAAAGCAGTCTGTTACCAATCTCGGGATAGTTTTAGACTCAGAGTTTAAGTTTAATAAGCAGATCAACTCTGTTCTTCAAGAAAAGCTTCTTTCAGCTAAGGCAGCTAGTCCGTACTGTCCAAATCTGACCTTGAAAAATTAGTCAGTGCATTTATTACAACCCAGCTGGACTACTGTAACTCACTTTATGCTGGGGTCAGTCAGACTGCTCTTTCACGTCTCCAGCTAGTCCAAAATGCTGCAGCTCAGCTACTAACAGGAACTCGTAGGTTTGAGCACATTTCACTGGTTCTGTCCTCCTTCAATGGCATCCTGTAAAATTATTCTGCTGACATTCAAGTGCATTAATGGCCTCGCACCCTCATACCTCTCTGACCTACTTCATCCTTATGCTCCTTCTTGGGCTTTGAGATCATCAGACCAGCTGCTTTATACTGAACCAAAAACCAGGCTGAAGCTCAGAGGAGATCAAACCTTTTAAGTCGTGGGCCCTAAACTCTGGAACAGTCTGCCCATCAACATTCGACAGGCTCTCTGCTTTTAAAACTCCTGAAAACTCATCTGTACTCATTGACATTTAACACAGTATGGTCCGATTTAGATTTTCTTTGATTCTGACTGTGTTTATGCTTTTTTGTTATTATTCTGCTACATTTGGCACAAGGTGATCTGATTTAGTATGTCACTGTTTCTAATTATGTTTTGTGTTTGATATTTTTATTCCATATGCTGCAATTGTATATTGTTACTTTTTATTTGATGCTGTGATCTTTTTTGTTAAGCACTTTGTTTTAAATGTGCTACTGTATATAAATGAATTTGACTTGACTTATCCAGATCAGAGCAGAGAACTCTGCTGACCTCTAATGATGAAAAAACATGCAACGCCCTTCATATTCCTTCTGCTTTGCTTAATAACACTACTATAAATAGTTAAGTCCCTAGCTAACCAACTGTTAAATTTATTTTTTATGGATTCACAAACAGGAGTAAAATTATTACCCATGTAATTGTTTTCTTTAGAGATTTTAATACCTAGATAAGTTACAGTGTCTTTTACAGGGATACTGCATATTTCAGTAACAGCAGTCGCTTATAAAGGAAGGATTTCACATTGTTTTAGATTGAGTTTCAATCCTGAGATGCTAGAGAGCTACAGGAACTTCACTAGAATCTCTTCAAAATACTGTTCTAATGTCAGAAATTTTAAGTTCTTCATCAAATATTTTAATTCCTTTAAAAGAGCTCCGTCTAATTAAAGACTGCAGACTGAACTTGGCAAAAGGGCCTTCTCCTACGGTCCTGTTTCGTGGAATATCTTGCAAAAAACATCTGAAGCTGTCGACCTTGACCTTAATGGCTTCAAACATCTGCTGAGTTCATGGGAAAACCAAGGCAGACGTTCCTGTTTTTAGTTTTCTAAATCACTTGACAGTCTAGATGTTTTTATTTTGTTTTTTAATACTATTTTCTTTTATTTGTTCTTCTCAATTTGTATGCTTTTTATGATTGTCTACTGTTGTTGATCACTCTGTTAAAATCATGTCTCTCTAAACGAGTCCCGAGGCTCAATGGGACTAACTTGTATAAGTAAAGGTTGAATGTGGGGGAAAAAATACTCGTATGGAGATTAAGTATTGTATAAAATTGAGCTAAACACACAAAGAAATATGTTAGACAAAAGGTATTGAAGGAATGAAAGTACACAATATCAGTCACACTTGATTTAGTAGGAAAAACCATCATTGTACCATGTACAATGAAACATACGTTTGGCATTTCTTCATGTCATCATATAGGAATAAAGTAAAAAGTACTGTTAAAAAGAAAGACATGAAAATAGAAAAATAAGATACATACTGTAGGAGTAATGTGTCTAGTCTTGGAATAGCAGCTGGAGTTGTATACATATGGATGTTAAGTGTGACAACAACCTCGCTCCATTTTATAGTACAGACCTTATTGTTCCATATTTTCCTAACAGAGCACTTTGCTCTCAGACTGCAGGTTTACTTGTGGTTCCTAGAGTTTCTTAAAGTAGAATGGGAGGCAAAGCTTTCAGTTATCAGTCATCTTGTGGAACTTACTTCCAGTTTCTGTCCGTGAGGCTGACACATTGTCTACTTTTAAGATTAGGCTTAAGTCTTTCCTCTGTGATAAATCCTATAGTTAGGGTCGGCTTAGGTTTCCTGAGCTATCCCTTAGTTCTGCTGCTAGAGGCTTAGACTACTGGAGGACAAATTGACCACATTCCCTCACTCTGCTGCTGTCTTTACTTGCTTTACTCCACCTGTTTGTATTTGTAATTATTTCTATCTTAACATGTGTTTTGTTTGTTTTTTGTCTTTCCTCCAACAGAACACCTGGACCTGCCATTCTGTGTTTGTCTGTCTCTCCTTCCTGTTCCTCTCAAACTCAGCGGATCCAAACAGATAGCTGCTCGTCCTGAGTCTGGTTCTGCTGGAGGTTACTTCCTGTTAAAAGGGAGTTTTTCCTTTCCACTGTTGCCTTTGTGCTTGTTCAGGATGAGAGACTGTGACAAAGTGAAGATTCAGCACAATCTGCTGGCTTCCTTACATATATATATATATATATATATATATATATATATATATATATATATATATAACTTTTATAACTTTTTATGTATGTGATTGTGAATGTTTTTGTTCAGTGAGACAACTTCTGTTGTGATTTGGCGCTATATATAAATAAAGTGAACTGAATTTGCAGGTACAGTTTCCACTGGCTATGAAGTGTAGAAAGCTTTGTAGCAGACTTGTACATGAAGTTGCATCACACCTCAAAATTTTGCAGTTCAGTTCATTTCAGTTCATTTCAGTCGTGGCAGCACGATGGATCAGTGGTTAGCACTGTTGCCTCACAGCAAGAAGGTGTTGGGTCCAATCCCCGGTTTTCTGTGTGAATCGTGAATGAATATTCCTGCTACTTCCGGTGTCGGACCGGAAGTTGCGCATATTTTCATAGCTAATCTACAGTAGAGGCACCAAGTGCCCGAGTCGCTCAGACATGGACGAGCAGGACACCGCAGCGATCCTCCCGGGAGATCTCAGCGCCGACTCTGACGGCGGGGAGGCTGGCGCGTGCGCTGCAGGAAGATCACCGTGCCCGGTGTCCGTGGAGCCGGTGCTGTTCCTCTCCATGTTCTCCGTGGCCCTGCAGACTCCCCTGTCCACGCAGTACCTGTGGGACCGCATCAGCCAGGACCTGGGCTACAATGGCTCCAAGAGTTCGGACTGCGGGAACAGCTCGGCTCCTCCGGACCCGCTGCAGAAGGTGGGAGACACATCTGTACACCGCTGGACTCCATAACTGATCTGAGGCTTGATCAAGATCAAAGCTCAGGTTTTAACCTTTGAAACGCAACATAAGAACAGGGCTGCAGACAATAAAGGTCATGTTTTGTATTAAAAGTTAAAGACATTCATAACCCTGGAGAAAGGTTTGGGCTAGAAGGTTTAGTTCAGATCACTATAAAGAGAAACATGAAGACACATACACCTGAACACATTACATGCAGATGAACATGTTTATTGCACATTAAAAACACGTTTAAAACAAACTGTGGGATGAACAGAAGATGACTCATCGTGCATGAGTGCAAATCTTTGGAAACTGCACTTATGTGCATTGTAGGCACCTGGATCCACATTTATTTCTATTTCAAAGTCATCGTGGCGCAGTCTTTGTAACAAAGAGGAACAACAGTGACGAGCCGACGGGATTTGATGAACACGCACATTTCACTCAGACTTGTTCCGTGCTAATAAAGTTCATCGCCTTAAAACTGGTTTGAATCTCTTCAGTTCTGATTCTGAGTCGTAGGCCTGTCACGATAACAAATTTTGCTGGGCGATTAATTGTCTCAAATTATTGCGATAAACAATAATATTGTTTGAAATTTGACAATAATTAGTAATTATTGTCAATTTAAGTTGGTTACTTTGTTTTGCGTGTAGTACATTTTGTGACCACCGGGTGGCAATATAAGACAGTTTGAGCCGAAGGATGGATAGTGAGGGAGTGAGCAGCGTGTCTCTTTCAGAAAAATGGGAGGGAGTCCTCTTGACATGACATGGGCTGTCTCTCCTTCCTGCTTTTCGGTTCTCAAAATGGCAGACGCTCATTTGGGCTCTGTAGCATAGCATTTTTCACCTTTTGCTGTCCAGTGTCTTCAATAGAAAGAGGGAGACACAAAGAAACAATAAAGCCAATAAATGAAAGTGAGGTTGATAATTTTCATTTATCATGCGATTAATTGATGTATTGTTTATTGTGACAGGTCTACTGAGTCGTCTCATTCTTCTCCTCCTCACGTGTCTGTGGTTTTGACCCGGGTACATTTGTCTTTTCCAGGAAGTGCAAACTTTGACGGCCCACTGGAACCTGTACATCAATCTGGGGGGCTTTTTGGTTGGAATAATGGTGGTGCCCTTCTTGGGTTCGTGGAGCGACGTCGCAGGTCGCAGACTTGTCCTCATCCTCTCCAACCTCGGCATGGCGCTGCAGGTGGGGGTCTACCTCGTGGTGATGTACCTCCAGCTTCCTGTGGTCTACTTCTTAGTGGGCCGGCTGCTGAGCGGCCTCTCGGGGGAGTTTAACGCCGTGCTGGCTGGCTGCTTCGCCTACGTGGCCGACGTCAGCGACAAGAGGTCCCGCACCTTCAGGGTGGCGGTTTTAGAAGCCTGCCTGGGTGTGTCGGGGATGTTCGCCAGCATCATCGGAGGCCAGTGGAGGCGGGCACAAGGGTTAGGAACGTTTACTGTGTGCATTTTGATCAGAAGTAATAAAAATATATATAATTCATGAATATTTTTATCATCTCAGTTACATCAACCCTTTCTGGCTGGTCCTGGCCACCAACTTGGCCTCAGCTCTGTACGCCTACCTCTTCGTTCGTGAGTCCGTCCATCCAGACCCAAGCGCCAAGCTCCTCACCACTCGCCACCATAAAGCCGTGTGGAAGCTGTACTCGACGGGAGGTGGCAGCGGAGGCGGGCGGTTTCACCGATGCAAGCTGTGGCTCTACACTCTGTGCTTCTTCCTGGTGGTGACGGTTCACCAGGGCAGCAGGGAGCTGTACGTGCTGTACGAGCTGAGCTCCCCGCTGTGCTGGGGCTCGGCCCTCATCGGCTATGGGTCGGCGGCGCAGCACCTGGCTTACCTGAGCAGTCTGCTGGGGCTGAAGGTCATGCAGCGCTGCCTGGAGGACTCCTGGGTGGCTCTCGTGGGTCTGGCCTCAAATATACTCGGACTGGTGGTGTTTTCTGTCGCTGACACCACCCCGCTCATGTTCACAGGTGAGACGAGCTTGTTCACGGCACGTGCTCCCAACAGTTTCCGCCCGTACATTATTCTGTAATCACACAGACATCCCTGTCTGGTGCTCATCACAGCAGGTGATAGACGGAGAAGCTTCAACAGTTCAGCTTTCAAAAGTGGGCCATAACGTTTTTGCCGGTGTGTGTGAGCATGTTGATCAAATATCTCATGTTCCACTGGACGACCTTTAATGAAACTCCGTCATCGTTGGCTGTACGTCTGCAACTGGTCAAGTTTAGGAGTCGATTCAAGATGGCCGTCACAGCGGAGCAGCCTGAGCAAACACGGAAGTGGCTTTAACTCGGTTAAGTTCACAAACCTGAAGTTTGGTGTGGTAGTTGCTGAGACTGATCCCCAGCACGTAGTCTGGGCACTTAACAGACTGAACAAGATCTGCGGTTAAAATTAGGCTATTAACTGTGTTGTCAACTCTGTCTGTTAGCAAAATATCTAATAAGCCACTGGGTAGATTTGAATGCTACGTTCAAGTTGACCTGTACAGGGATGAATGAGTTTTTCAGTCTGTTCGGCCTACAATCTGGGCAGCAGATACCTGCGTCCACATGGAAGCAACCTGAACTCACCATGGAGTGGATGATCAGGATCTGCCAGAATCAGCCTGGCCTTGTTCACTGACCTCGACTTGTGTAGGTCAGTGACGTTCTGTAGGGCTGTGTCAGCAGTTCTGCGGCTAATAAAGCCACAGAGCTTCTGATAATATTCAGGAGATAATCATCGGCTGCATCTCTACAAATGAGTGGATTTTACAGACACCGAGCACAAATCTGGTGTGGTAGTAACTGAGAGTCATCGATGACACATCCTGTAGCGTGAGTGTGATGTCCTGCAACATTACATAAGAATGTAGCTGCTGTTGGTACGCCGTATTGTTTTTCATTATTAATGTTTGGATGCAAGGATTTTTATTGTCATTCACATCACATGTGGTACATGAGGTGGAATGAAACTATGTACACAGGGTCCCAGTTACATCCAACAAAAATACACATTGTAAAGAAAAACATCAGAGATATGAACTAAGAATATATTACATTCACTAAACTAAGAATACACAACACTAAGAATACACTAAGCACCAGTAGTACAAAAACAATGCGCCAAAACAACAGCAGCACGAACATGAGTCAGTGTGAGCAGATGAGGACGAATGAACACAGCAACGTGAAATCAGCAGCATGAGATCAGCATCATGGATAGTCAGCAGCACATATCCACAACCAAGCAGCATTACAGTGACTTTTTCCTGGTTAGAGATTCATGAGTCTAACAGCCTCAGGGTAGAAGCTGTTCCTCAGCCTGGTGGTTCTGCACTTAATGCTCCTCAACCTCCTTCCTGAGGAGAGCGGGGCAAAAAGTGTTTGTGCTGGGTGTGTGGGGTCCTTCATGATGCAGGTGGCCCTCTTCCTGCATCTGGAGGTGTGGGAGACTGACTCCCCACCTATCTTAGTCTATCTTAGATCTTTTAGCGTACCGTTAGGTGTTCGTTTAGCGCATATGTGTCAAACTCAAGGCCCGGGGGCCAAATGGGGCCCTCGCTGGCATCTGGCCCCCAAGATGTTATTTTAAATGTAAAATACTTTTATCATTTTCATTTTTTTCTGTAATCTTTGATTAAGATGTCAAAAGTGCAACAGAGAACGTCAAACGAGACCAATCAAACTCTTGTTGAGGAACTTGCAATCAAGAAAAGATGTCAAGTATCTGATTCAAGTTCATGTAGATTCTGAAACCGGGCCTTAGTTTGAAAAAAGGGTTTAATTTTGGCCTACTTTTGTAAGCGGGTTTGACACCCTTAGTTTAGCCTATATCCATACTGTTTCTTTTTATACTTTATATTTTGCTATTTTGGATGTAACTGGGACCCTATACATAATTTCGTTCCACCTCATGTACCACACGTGATGTGACGATAAAGTTAACTTGAACTTGAGATCTTGGTAAGTTGTAGGTTTGACCTAAAGGGCTACAGCTGTTTAAGTCCACCTCATGTGATGCGAGCGACTATAAAAAGATACTTGACCTTTAATGTGAGCGATGCAGAACAAACACACATTCTGTTTATTTCTCCTTCCAGGTTACGGTTTGTGTTTCCTCTTCATGGCTGCGACTCCTGTCCTCAGGTCAAAGCTGTCCAAGTTGGTGGACCCATCAGAGCAAGGTGAGCTGATCCTCCTGACCAGATGTTTACCGCACATCTGGAGCAGAGAGCCCGCTCCGAGTCCACTGAGCCGCAGCAGAACGAGTCCGTCCTCTGTCCTGAGGGACGGCTTGTGTCCCGCAGGTTGTGTGTGATCATATTTGCTTCTGTCTGCCAGGCGCCCTGTTTGCCTCTGTGGCCTGTGTGGAGGGCTTATGTTACCTGGTGGGCAGCAGCCTCTTTAACTCGCTCTACCCTGTCTCCCTGCACTTCATGAAGGGCTTCCCTTTCCTTTTTGCTGCCGTCGTCCTCTTCATCCCTGCTGGAATCATCGGGTGAGGCTTTTTGTTGGCTTTAAACGGTTGAAGGGGAGCAGCATAAAAACATGCGACTCTTGTTTATTCGTCTTTTTAGGGCTCTGCAGTGTTTCGACCAGAGAAGAGACCCCTCAGGGTCCTGACGGAGCAGACTTTTTTAACGTATATGAGGAAAGGTGCGGAGCAAAAAGGGATTCTTCCATCCAGGGACGCTAAAACTATCAAGACTGAAGAACGACTGAACCAGCTCAGGGCTCGTTCCACCGCCAAACCTTTTGTCTCAGAGACTGAACTATTGTTAACTCAGAAGGAGTGCCTAAAGACTGAGCTTTGTTTTATACTGTTTTAATCTAAACTTTATTAATTATTCTAATGTTCACTTTAACTTCAGTAGCAAGCTAACAACGGACTCTTTTTACATGTCGTTTATCAGTCACATGCACTTTGATATAAAAAAAAAACCTTTCATCTTTTTTCTCTGTTGATGGATTTTATGAGACATTTGTTGTGAATTGTCTATAAAAAAAAACACATTTTAAAGTTAAACTTCAAAACAAGTGTCTTTTCTAATAAGCTGCGTCATTTTGTAAATGAATTTTATAAATCACCACTGAAATGTGATGTTTGTTAAATTTTGCATAAAACTGGATTAACATGAAGAACTCAACTGGTTTGATCTTTAAGTTCCCAATAAATGGAGCAAACGTTTATCATAAAACATAATATATCCTGACATACTTGACCAAACGTTAACACACAGATGCACATTTTATAAATCTGTTTTAGTTTTTAGAGGTCAGCAGTAAATAAAGACCAGGAACAAAAATCACCTTAAGTTTTATTAATACTTGACCAATACTCTCCTAATGGCTTATAAAAGATTAAATAAATGTTTTTGTGCCCGTAACGTTCCATTCAAACAGTTTGCTATTCATTTACCAGATAGTCAATCCAACAAAACTGATAAGGGAAATTACAAGTTATCTCTAATAAATATTAATTTTAAAGGATATGTTGCAGAAACATCAATCTGTGCAACAGAATCCAGTTTTATTACCGGTAGCATTAGCTCTGGGTTTAGTTTTTTGAAGGCAGCTCACATCAAACAACCGTCAATTTATATATATATATTTTTTATCACAACAAAATCAGCTGAGTCAGAGCAGAGACCACTTTATTTATTAGACACTGAAGAACAGATAAACAGGACTCTGGGTGGGGCCTCCACAGATGATTATTATTATTGACGACGGCTGGTTACTTGTTTTCCTGAGATACTGAGCGTGGTTAGAACTCGTGTTAAAGCTGCAGTCCAAATCTCTTCAAGTGGACTTCTGTGGAGGGCTTATAAACAGTCATTATCTTACCTGTTGTCGATTGCTCTTTGAACGACCTCACCTTGAAAGTAAAAGTGAACTTGTGATCGGACTGATGAGCCAACGACTAGTCCCAAGTGGGACCAGGACCAAAGTGGACTGATGCAGTCTTAAAACAAGTCCAATCTCAAATATTTCATGGCAGCTCACAGAAACGCTATTTTGTCAACCTTTAAATCATCATAAACAACTATTTAATGTGAAACCAACATCTGTGTAGTGGTTTGTAAAGTGGCGTCAGCATGAACTGCTGTGAAATGAGTGTTTTTAAGGCGACGGCAGTACGATTAGCCATTAGCTTGTCAATCCGGTCAGAATAAAATTGGTCTTTTCAAAGTGAGCTTGTTCAAAGGGCTGTCTACAACAGGTGAGATGTTATTTGTTCATAACCTTCCCACAGAACCCCACCTCACAAGGTCTAAACTGTCACATTATGGTTAATTATACACGATCTGAAACTCCTGTATGTATTTCTACAGCTTTAAATGGATTTTAATAATGTGGCGTTTATGTGAGGAGGTTATCTAAACATCATCGTTAGCATCACATGCTGTTGGGCCAAGCAGGAGGAGCTCCGGACAGCTGACAGCAGTACACTTATTAAAGCTGTGTTCAGACTTCTCAAAGTTTATTTCTTCTTCTGGTCTTTAGATTTGGCTGGGCCGTCGATCGCGTCTTCTTTTCTTTCCAGAAAGCGGATGAGCTTCTCAATTGTGGCTTCCTGGTATTCGTGGGACCATCTGCGTCAAGAGAACAAACCAGACACTTGTCGTACATTATTCTCATTCTTGTTCTGATGAAGTACCCATGAGATCTAAACATGATGATACGCTGAAAACTGTGTGATCTGAATTATGTAGTGACAGCCTTAAAATGTTTTGATAGCGGATACAAATGGTTGTAAAAGCAGAGTTGAAGTACTTAATTACTTAAGTACTAATTAAGTACCGGTACGTTCAATTTTTTTCATTTCCACCACATCGCCTAGATTGTAAGCAAGTACCCCCGCACCAAACACTGCAAGGTTTGCTTGATGTGTTGTGTTACTCAACGATGACGCGCAGCTGTTATCTATCGTGCTGATTAGGTCGGTTGGAGTCACAATCACTGCGTTTTGCTTTAAATAATGTTGCTAAGAGAAGTGGCAGATCAGAAATTGGCCAAAACTGGCAGAACTGGATTAGAAGAGACATCTAAGTATAATATTTACTGATTGGATAAAGTTGTCACTTAGTGGCAGTATTGGACCAAATTCAAGCTGCTGAAAATTTCCCAATCTATCCTAATGAAGTGCAATATTTCCAGAAGCAAAAATAGCACAAGAACCAAAAGTCATAGCAAATATTTGAATGGCTGTAATAGGATCAAGTGAGAAAGAGTAGTTAAGAGGCAAAACAATAAAAATAAACGGCACAGGATTTCAATAATGTGCTTGTCATGCACACTAATATTGATTGTAGCTGTAAATGAGATTCACATAAAAATGAGTTCATAAAGACACCATCTAAAATAACACATTTGATCCATCATTTCAAAACAAATTAACAGATTTTGGTGAAACATTTTCAGATTCCTGGCTTTTAAAGTTACATTTTGATACTTCGATAATCCTGATATCATGAGCTGTTCCAGAAATATGGCTTGATTTGTGCAGCTAATCTAGAGTACCCCTTAAAATCCGCTTGAATTCTTTTTTCTTTTTTTTAGCATATTCTAATGAAGATTTCTTGATATAATTTGAAACATCAAATCATATTTGGATATCAGCTGGTATTGAGAGTAGGTTCTCTAGCGTTCAGGGAAAGTAGCAATTTTTAGGGTTTTTCTGCTCAAAATTACGTTATTTGTCAGAACTGTTTGGAAAAGTGCTTCAAAGCATTCTTTAGGATTAAATTTAGGAAATTTTATTCAAGAGACTCACAGATAATCATCAATATTCTGACAAAATGCACTACAGCTGCCTTAATCTCACTGCACGACAATCCTCAGTTTGATGAGACAGGTCTCATAAACTTTTTAATCTACCTTTTAAGCATAATTTTCTTACAGGTACGTCTTTAGAAATAATCCTTTGTTTTAAAAACCTCATAACTTCCTTTGAAATTTACCATTTTTCTTTGCTGGCTGCCACAACACTGGGAAATCCCTTCATATATGTTCTGCATCATTGTTAAACTTGGGGATTACCCGTTTTCCATACAGGGCTGGAAGTCCCATTGACATCCTTCTATAAAAGTTTAGTTTTCAAACCAGCACGCTCATGAACAAAACTAGATTGTTGCTACACTGCATCAATTTGAAACTTGTAAAATGGTGTTTATAAATAATTCAATATTGAAAACTTTATTGTGACTTATTTAACCAAGACGGGTCACATACAATGATCTAAGTGTGCAGATACTCACTTGACGCCATTGAAGTTCAGAACAGATCTCATGTCCTCTGGTAGCAAACTGGTGTCGGGCCACACAAAGTTATCTATGACAGGGACTATGGTTTTCTTACCAGCCAGGGCCGTGACTATTTCCTGCAAGACAGATGGGACTTTTACTAACTCTGTTAAAAGTAAAGGTGAAACTAAAGTGTACAAAGGTTTGAATGTATTGACAATATTTTTTTCTAATCCACACAGGCTCAAAAACATTTATTCATCTAAATCATTTAATAAGTGGGATCTTAAGAATCTGACGGGCATAGACGTATTAAAATACTAAACTGAGTGTCCCCGACTCAAAACAAAAGTCCTGACGCTTTACTAAATTTGCAGCTGCCCACGAGGAGAGGCCAAATTCCTTCTGAATAAAGATTTTATGGACAGATGAGACAAAGATTGAACTGTTTGGCCATAATAACAAGAAGTATGTTTGGAGGTGACAATGTGAGGCTTTCAAACCAAAGGACAATGTACTAGCTGCTAAGCTAATATTCAGCCTGAAATAAGCAGAAGCTTGTTGATGGATTAAAAAAAAAACAGTGGTTGAGGTGCAACTTGCTAATGGAAGTTTAACCAAATATTAGTGGGAGTGTATGTATACATCTGAGCTTGTATGTATAATTTTGGAACTCTTCTGACCTTATGCACCCAGTCCTTCATAGCGGTGTCTCCCATGCACTTGTCGAGGGCATTGGCAGACAGGACCAGGATGAAGCCGCGGGCTCTCTGGACACTCTGAATCAGTTTTTCCTCAAACTTGCCAGCCTCCAGCTTCTCCACGTCTATGAAGACGTTGTAACCTCTGACCTGGAGGTGCACCTTCAGAAGGCTGGAGGAAACGGTTCAGACATTATTCACCTTATGTTGATTTCAAATTTAGCACTTTAGCACTGTTAAAAGGATCTCCGACCTTATTTGGTAAACAATTACTTAAGCTATATTAAAAAAATAAAAAATAAAAAAACGAGTACGCAAAACCACTGTAGGCTAAGTTTATATAATTGTTTTTAATTAACGACACACAAACGTCACAAATTTATTTATGCTGCAATGAAATCTGGGTAAATTACAGAGAAGTTGCTTCAGTGCAGGCTCCATTCAGCTTTAATGTTTTTGGACATTATTTGATGTTCAGCCCTTTAATTTGAACCAGAACACATTGACAGAGAGGAGGCTGGAGAAATGACTGTTAGCTCTGGAGCCAATATACAGTATGATGTTAGCTCTGGAGCTAATAGAGTTAGCTCCAGAGCTAATGGGGTCGAGATGGTGTAGAGGCAGGGCAGCCGGCTTGGGACCCGAGAGTCCCAGGTTCGATCCCCAGTCACTGCACATCACGTGGCGTCTCTGGGCAGCACGTCTAATCCCCAAAATGTCCCCCGGGCGCTTTCAATAGCTGCCCACTGCACCACCTGGTGGTGGATGGGTTAAATGCAGAGACTAATTTCGCCATTGTATGGAAACATACAGTGCTGACATTGTGATGACATTATTATTATTATTATTATACTGTATATATTAGCTCTAACATATACAGTATGATGTTAGCTCTAGAGCTAAAAGAGTTAGCTCCAGAGCTAACATCATACTGTATATTAGCTCTGGAGCTAATATATACAGTATGATGTTAGCTCTGGAGCTAAGAGAGTTAGCTCCAGAGCTAAAATCATATTGTATATATTAGCTCCAGAGCTAACATACACAGTATGATGTTAGCTCTAGAGCTAAAAGAGTTAGCTCCAGAGCTAACATCATACTGTATATTTTAGCTACAGAGCTATATATAAGATTTTAGCTCTGGAGCTAACTCATATATATGATGTTAGCTCTGGAGCTAACACTATTAGCTCCAGAGCTAGTATAATTTTAGCTCAGGAGCTAATAGTGTTAGCTCCAGAGCTAGTATATATGATTTTAGCTCAGGAGCTAATACTATTACCATCAGAGCTCTTACAAGTTGCTCATCACAAGTTGATCATGTTTGATTGTTTTGACCCATATACTGTATTATGAAAAAGGGCTAATACGAAATATAACTTTATTGTCATGTTACTATTTAACCTTGACTCCACTACAACATATGTACGTCATTGCTCCAGCATGCAATGTGCCAGTAAAATATTGGCACCGTCCTTATGTGAAAAATGTAAAAAACATAAATAAATGTTTAAGTAATTAGGAGTTAAGGCTAACATGCAAGTAGTCGAAGATCCCTTTAAAAAACTATCTAGTGTTTTCCTTCTTATCAGTCCTGACCTGGCCAGCTGTGACCCAGTAGTCCGACGGTAGCTGATGAACACGTCAGGCCCCAGTGGCTTAGCATCTGTTTGGCTCGGTTTTATCGGCTTGCGGATGGCAGATAGTATCTTTGCTCGGTGGACTCCATTGTCTATGTGGCAGTCATGCTGGAGCTGCTGCTCGGTCAGACTCTGAATAATGTTACGATCCACTCCGGCCTGGAGCAAGCTGTAGGTGTACTGGCGAAAGCGAGGGTCCACCTCGGCTAACCAGTCAGCCATGTTGTGAGGGTCACATGTGGAGTAGTCAGCGTAGGTCTTCAACACGCGTAAATCTCTTAGAAACCTGGACAATTAAGAAACAGCCAACTTGTGACACTTTGCTTCGTCCCGGTCTTGTTTTAAAAAAAATTGGGGACTTGCCTCTTGCAAGTGAGACCAGTCATTCCTAACTCAGAGCTCAGATCCTGATCAGTGATGTTCAAAAGGAGATCTCCATCCACCTGAAGCTCCTGTAAAATGGGACACGGTACTGACTGAACAACACTTTGTCTATGTGGTCATCTCTCTGAAATCTTAGATGGTTTCACTCACCTGGAAACGATCACAGAAAGCATTGAAGCCAACCTGCTGCAGCCACGTCTGCACCTCGCAGGTCTTCCAGTTGGGCACACATGACAGGATTCGTTTCGGCACTTCTTCTCCCATCATACGTAGGGCCCGCTTGGCCAGGCCGGAGACTGTGTTGTTAGTGGAATACATAACAATTCTCTTCAGGCTCTGGATGGCACCAATCTCTTGAAAAATCTTGAAGGAAAATCACATCTATCATAAGAAAGTCATAAAACTAATTATTTGAGGTATTTGACAATTAACTGGGGATTGTACCTTAGTGTTGCGCTGACGGGATTTGATGCTGGCCTCAACGCAAAGATAAAAAGCTGCAATGCACTTCCCTTCCACTCGTGTACCATCTAATAATGGTAAGAGGTGCTGCAGGTCAGATGCTGTTCTTCCCTGCATGCAGTCTGCACTGTCCAACAAGCAGCGAGCGAAGTCATCTGGATCCAAAGACGCGATGAACGGTTCCACCAGCTCCAAGGTTCCAGACTTCACCACCTCTTTCTCAATTTCTCGATTGGCAGCCAACACTGTCACCGCCAGGCAGGCATGGAAGCGTATGAGCTCGTCCTCTTTGGAAAAGGCAAGAGGGAAGAGCCACTCGGCTGCCTGCTTCTCGATCATCCATCTCTGGCAGCGGTGGCCTCCATACATGGCGCAGTTAGCCAGCGCCACGGCACAGTGCCGGAGCACGGTGGGGTCCGTTCCCCGGCACCAGAACAGGAGGGTGTCCAGGGCACCATTAGAGATCAGGTGAACGGCCGTCTCCTCTGTGTGTTTGAACATGTGCTCCAAGATGCCGGAGACGCTGCGAGCCAGCTGAGCATCATCCTGCTGTCGGGTCAGGTTTAGGATTACCCCTAGACCCATACGGGCAACGTAGTCCCTGTCAACAAAAATAATCAGAACTCAAAAAGAGTATATTGTAGTTACCAGCTGGGCTGAAATGAAGAAAAGATACAGTATTGTACGGAAGTATTCGTAGTCGTCCCGCTTTCCTTTAGTTGGCTTCCAAGTAGCCCAACATTCTTATAACCATTAAAGGGACCTTGAATGGGGTGGGGGGGGGGGGGGGGGTGGACTTTGGCTGCTTTTTCATCTCATTATCACTTGTGTTAGAGAATTTTGTTGTTTGTTAAGCCACTTAACTCTGACCTTTGAAGCATTCTGACAAAAACGCTGGTGAAGATTCTCAGTCCTCCAGGACATGGTAAATTCTGACAAAAAGGCTGAAGAGATGAACCAGAGTTGTGTCAATACAACAGACAATAGTTGCAAAAAGCAAACAGTAAATTGGATATTTGGGCAGTATGGTACAGCAGCCTGTCACAAAGACACAGTTTGTTCCCATTTCTTTAGTTTAGTCTACGACAAATAAAAAAGATAACTCAATTTGACATAAAATTGTGTTTTAGCACCAACAAGGTAGTTTCTAAAGTGTAACTAGCTGAATACTTGACATACAGTAGATGAAAGATGACATCTTGCTGGTTCCCTACCTGGGTTTTTCATTGTTTCTTAAAGACATGACTTTCATATACTGTTCATCTGCTGTAGATAGTAGTTTTGGGCATGACACATCTGTCTGTCCATACATCCACCAAATTTTTGCTGCCTATCTGTGTTTGGGTGGCAGGAGAGAAACGCAAACATCCCTCTCCCCAGCAAGACTCTCCAGATCCTCCTGGGGGATCCCATGGTGTTTTCAGACCAGAGAGGATTTATAATCCCTCCAGTAAGTTCCAGGTCTGCCCTGGGGTCCATACAGTGGCGTGTGACCAGAAAGCTCCAAAGAGAGGCGTCCAAGATGCATCCTAATCAGATGCAAGACCATCACAACTGACTCCTTGAATGTAGTAGAGCAGCAGCTATACTCCGAGTTCCCCTAGATGACGGAGCTCCTCACCCTATTTCTAAGGCCGAGCCCTCAGCCACCCTTTGAAGGAAATTCATTTTAGTAGTTGGTATCCAGGAACTCGTTCTTTCAGTCATGGCCCATACTTTATGACCATGAGGGCTGGAACGAACGTGTAAATCGAGCTTCGCCTTTTGACTCAACTCTTTATTCATCACGACCGACCAAAACAACGCCCTCATCACTGATGATAATGCCCAGTCGGTCAATCCGTCTCCTGCTCCATCCTATCATCACTCGTGGACAAGTCACCCAGATACCTACCTCCTCCAACTGAAGCAGAAACTCATTATCAACCCGGAGGAGGCATTCTACCAGGTCTGGACAGAAAATACTTCAAAAAATAAAATAAAATAAAGCAGCAAAAGTTTAAATAAAAAAATTAAAATACAGTCAGAAACCTCTAAGAAGTTTTCATCAAAACCACTAGTGTTGTAATTGTAAATAATCTTCTACTGTGGATAAGGAGCTGGTTGTGTACAGAAGTCAACAGTCTAAATTCTTGCTGTTTATTTCAATTTAAGTTGACTGTGTTGCTTCTCTGCCTCTTCTGAACCAAACAATGATCTAAACCTGGAAACTTGTTCCTACTGTAGATCTGCATCATCAAACTGTGTGACCCTCTGGGTCTGTTCTCTAGTTCAGGGTCATACCTACTCTCTGGTTCAGGGTCAGTACCTACTCTCTGGTTCAGGGTCAGTACCTGCTCTTTGGTTCAGGGTCAGTACCTACTCTCTGGTTCAGGGTCAGTACCTGCTCTTTGGTTCAGGGTCAGTCCCTGCTCTCTGGTTCAGGGTCAGTACCTGCTCTCTGGTTCAGGGTCTGTACCTTACCAGTACCTTAAAAAAAATCTGTATGCCTTTTTTATAACTGTCTATTGTTGTCACTGTTGTCCATTGTTGTCATCATTCTTTGTTGAAATCAGGTCTCTCTTGTAAATGAGTCCTCGAGGCTCAATGGGATTTGCCTGTCTAAATAAAGGTTGAATGAAAAAGTACCTGCTCTCTGGTTCAGGGTCTGTACCTGCTCTGCGGTTCAGGGTCAGTACCTGCTCTCAAGTTCAGGGTCTGTTCTCTGGTTCAGGGTCAGTACCTGCTCTGCGGTTCAGGGTCAGTACTTGCTCTCTAGTTCAAGGTCTGTTCTCTGGTTCAGGGTCAGTACCTGC